GGCGATGTTCAAGTTAGAGTACAGGTGTTTGAGAGCCAATTTCGAATGCTGTTGCAACAAGAAGATTGCCTGAATGCCATAGTCTCAGAAGAGACAATCAGGGTGGAAAAGTCGGATGCAGACATTCCCAAACTGAAGGAGGAGTATGGTAGGAAGGCCGTAGAGAAGGCCATGAAGGCCTGGCAGTTAATACTGGCAAAGATTCAAGTTGCATCGATCGTACCAGCAATCATCTCTAGTGGTTGCCCAACGGAGTCATGGCGAATATTTCGAAATCATTTTCAACTTCATGCCCACACAGAAAAGACGAGCCTCCAGCTAGAGTGGCAGGAGTTGACGCAAGGGGTTCAACAACACCCGAAAGAGTACCTATCGAGAGGGTGGGTGCTGAGGCAAAGGCTATCATCTTGCGGAGTGACAATTACAGAGGATGATGCTAACAGACATCTTGTGCGCAACCTCCTCCCCGAATATGATGTCTACACAGGTTTTCTGATGTCCGAGAGCGGTCTAGAGAAGGAGAGAGTAGAACGGATTATAGTGAATGCTTGGGCGGAGATGGAGGCGCGAAGGAAGAAGAAGCAGGAGAGCGTGGGAGCTTATGCCCTCGTCACTGGCGGTGAGAACCGTAGTGGCGGGGGAGGGAACACGGGGGGACCGGGGAAGACGAGAGGACAACGGAGGACGGCAGCGCGGCAACAGAAGCAACAACCGCAGCAGCCACAGCAGCAGCATCAGCCGTACTTCAACTATCAGCAAACAGGTATACCCGCCGTCGTACCCGCCTGAAATAAAATATTGCGACCTCCACAACTCCCCGTCCCACAGCAACGAGGAATGTCGCTTGCAGCGGGGTTGGGGAGGTCCCTCGGGCGGCCAAGGTGCGAGCTACGGCGGAAGGCACGGGCCCCAGCATGGGGGCCGGGGCTTTTCTGGAGGAGGACGTCATCAGCAGCAGCCGGCAGGAGGAAGATTCGGGGGACGTGGCGCCGCTTCCGGTGGGAGGGGCAGGGGCCCTTTTCACCAGGGACCGCCGGGCAGCAACCTCCCCGCCTACCCTGTACCTCAGCAAGGCTACGACTACAGCACCTACCCCCCCAACATGTACCGCCCACAGGGAAATGAACCTCCCATCCACCCGAATGACCCTCGCAAGCGGTGTGAGAACTGCGGTGAACTCGGCCACAACCACCTGTTCTGCCCTTCGCGTGTTGATGTCGGAAGGCCAGCTGGCATGCCGGCAGGCAACGCGCCGCCCAGGCACCCGCCGCCCCGGCCGCCGGCCGGTGGTTACAGCCAGCGGCCGCCTTGGGCACACTCGTATGGGCAGGCAAATACGGCGCAGCAATACGGGGGAGAGGGTTACCCGGGGGTAGCGCCAGGAGCAGCAGGAGCGACGGCGGTGGCGACGACAGCTCCATCTACAGGGGGGCATGCGGTGACGCACGTGAGCGGCGTTTACCAAAATCCGGTGACGCACGCGAGCGGCGTTTACCATTACTCGCCCCAACAGCAGCAGCCGGAGTACCTTCCCCCCCCCGTGCAACAGCAGCAGCCCATCTCCAACCCGTACGCTCCTCCGGCGCCTTCGACCGGAGCGTCTCCATCGACTGGTGGGGATTTACATGCGTGTGTGGTGTGGGCTTTTCCAAGTGAGTCTGAAAATGGTGTGCTAGTAGAGCGAAGGGACGACGGATATGCAATGATGAACGTCCTTGATGAGAGTGTAGGAGACGAAACTTGGCTTGCAGACTCAGGCGCCACGAATCACACCACCGGTGACCCGAGGTGCATGTACGATGTGATGATTCCTCCGCCTGGTAGAGAGCGAGTAGTGATTGGCGATGGTAGGACGATGCCTGTGCTTGGTATCGGCAGCCTGAACGTCAAGTTCCACAATGGTGGAAACGATTTTTGCGTGAAGCTCACCAACGTGTATCACGTTGAGGGAATGGGTTACAATTTGTTTTCGCTTCACAAGGCCATGGGAGGGCAACGCATTGAAATGGATCCTATAGGTATCCACCTGTTTGACGGTGGATTAACTTTTCCCCGTGGCGAGCGTGGTTCTTCCTTGAGAGCGACTCGTTTACCGCCCGATTACACGACGCCACTTGCTGCGCCCGTGGTGACACCGTTACCTCCGCCTCCCCCTCGCTCTGCAGACGTTGTGAGTGTGACTGGTGTTGCAACGATGCATGCAATCCCCCGCATGCAGCATTCTCCCCAAGGTGTAGCGTACATGCCCTCTTCCTCGTTTTCTCGTTTCCCGCCCACTGTCGCCAGCGCCGGCAGTGTAGTACCTCCAACGGTGTCTAGGTTCCCGCCCACTGTCAGCAGTGTCGTGCTTCCATCCGCTCCGACGAGCGTTGTGCCGACCCCCGTCTCTGGTTTCCCGCCCGCTCCCAACAGCGTAGTACATTCTGGTGACACCGCCCACAGATATGCCCCCGTGTCGAATTTTCCGCCCGCTGCAGCCGGCATAGTACCTTCCACGGTGTATGGTTTCCCGCCCGCTGCAAACAGCGTAGTGCCATCGTCTGTGATCAATATCCCGCCCGCTGCGAGCAGCGTCGTTCTTTCGACAGTGTATGCCCCCTCCCCCGCTGACAGGAGTGTGGTTTTTCCCTCCGCTCCTCAAGTGCCGCATGGTATGGAGTTGGTAGCTGTTCCCGGGTTGCCATCGCCGGACGTCACCGTTTTTCAAAAGAATAGTGAGGATGATGACCGTGGGTTTATTCCGTTCACAGAGCAGGGAGATTACGAGTGGGCTTTGTACCTCTTAGAACAGAGACAAGAATCGGATGACCCCTACGAGTTTTTAGACTTGATGTTTGAGTCTGGATTTGCCAATGTCTTCGATGATGTTGCTTTCGCCGTTCCCGTTATGGCCCCGGGCAAGCGCCCTTTTTCGGTGGGGAAACCCACCAAGATTATTGACGTTAACCTTCTCCATGTTTCGTCCTCCCACGCCAATGAGTTTCTTTTGCGTGAGCTTGCGAAGCAGCACGGTCTCCGACTGACCGGTGTCCTGCAGCCTTGTGGTGGATGCCTGCAGGCGAAGGGGAAGAAGGCGGGCGTGCCTCACCAATTGGGCACGCGCGCGGAGCGGCCGCACGATCTTTGGCACATCGATCTGTGTGGGCCGATGACGGCCTCGCTGGGGGGTTCGTTTTTCATGATTATGTTCGTGGACAGCTTCTCGCGGTGGATGAAGCTGTACGGGATGAGGCGCAAGTCGGACACCCTCGCCTTCGTCAAGAAGTTCCTCGCCGACATGAGTGGCACCGGTGTCCCTCGCTCTTTCCGGATGGACAACGGGGGGGAGTTCATCGGACGCGACTTCATCGCCTTCTGTGACAACGCCGGCATCCGCCGTACGTACACGGCGCCGGGCACCCCGCAGCAGAATGGTCCGGCGGAGAGTGCGATCTGGCGCGTGAACAAGGCCGGCCACGCCGCTCGTCTCGAGGCACCCCGCCTGTTCCCCAAGATCGACTTCACCCGCGTCCCCGGCTTCGGGCGCGATGGCGAGCGACTCTGGCTAGAATCGTGTCACTGGGCTGCCGGCGGCTTCAACCGTTCTCCGACCAAGGCAAACGTCGGGTACAAGTCGCCGCACGAGCTCTTCACCGGTCGCCCGCCACCGCTCCAGATCGTCCCGTTCTTGCAGCCGGGGTATATGCGTGTGACGCGCGCGAGGAAGATGGATCCCCAGGCAGTGCTGTGCTGCTACCTCAACAACGGCGACAACCATCACGAGTCGGCGGTCAAGGTCCTCAAGTTCGCGACGGGGCGCGTGTGCATGACGAACAACGTCGTGTGGGTCTCCGACCGCGCGCCGTTGCTGACCCCGCCGCTGGAGCTGCCGGCGCCGGCGGACGAGGGGGGAGATTCGAATGTCGCCGCCGCACCGTTTCTAATTGAGTATATTTCACCGCCTCTCTTACCCCCCTCACCGTATGCCCGACCTCCCACTTCACCCGCTGCCATACTCTCACAGGCGCCGCCGGCAACTTCCACACCACCATCGCCGGCGGCGCCGTCTACCGCAGCCACACCACCGCCACCGTTCACCACCACCGCGCCGCCTGCAACGCCGCTCGCCGCCGCGCCACCGTTCACCACCACCGCGCCGCCTGCAACGCCGCTCGCCGCCGCGCCACCGTTCACCACCACCGCGCCGCCTGCAACGCCGCTCGCCGCCGCGCCACCGTTCACCACCACCGCGCCGCCTGCAACGCCGCTCGCCGCCGCGCCACCGTTCACCACCACCGCGCCGCCTGCAACGCCGCTCGCCGCCGCGCCACCGTTCACCACCACCGCGCCGCCTGCAACGCCGCTCGCCGCCGCGCCACCGTTCACCACCACCGCGCCGCCTGCAACGCCGCTCGCCGCCGCGCCACCGTTCACCACCACCGCGCCGCCTGCAACGCCGCTCGCCGCCGCGCCACCGTTCACCACCACCGCGCCGCCTGCAACGCCGCTCGCCGCCGCGCCACCGTTCACCACCACCGCGCCGCCTGCAACGCCGCTCGCCGCCGCGCCACCGTTCACCACCACCGCGCCGCCTGCAACGCCGCTCGCCGCCGCGCCACCGTTCACCACCACCGCGCCGCCTGCAACGCCGCTCGCCGCCGCGCCACCGTTCACCACCACCGCGCCGCCTGCAACGCCGCTCGCCGCCGCGCCACTGTTCACCACCACCGCGCCGCCTGCACCGCCGTTCGCCGCCGCGACACCGTTCACCACTGCCGCCTCGCCTCCGGCCTCACCGTTCACCACCGCCGCTGCACCGTCAGTAATACCGTCTCCCGCCGCCGTGCCGCCCGGTGCCGCGCCTTCCACCAACATGCCGCCGCTCACTACGAGGACCATCCGTGAACTGGACGTGGGGCGCGGCGACATGAGGGTTTCTGGGCGCACGAGGGCAGCCGCTAAGGACCAGGGGGGGGGGCGTGCGTCGTCAATGCCGCCCCTCTCTGCCAGGGCCAATCGAGAGCTGGACTTGGGACGAGAGACGCGGGTGCCAGGGAGGTTGAGGGGTCGGCGGGTGCGTTTCCAGGATGGGGGGGCCGAGCGGTCGACGTCACCTGGCGGGAGCGGCGACGCTCTCGCCCACCGCTTCGGTCTTGTTTCCCTGCAGGACAAGGCAACGCTCCTGTCGACTCTAACCACTCGCAGCATCGTCGATGGGGGGAGGAAGGAGATCCCGAGTTCAGCCGGAGGACGTGATGGAGCGGAGCCGGGGGGGCGAGAGCGGGAGGGCACGAAAACAGAAGGACTGCGTGAAGAAGTCCCATTTGCGTGCGCCACCTTGCTTGCCTCCCGCGAGGACATTGATCGCGCGATGAGGGATTTAGATCCCCCGGAAGTGGCACCGGACTTGCCACAGTGCTATGCGAGCGACTTGCGCGTACCCAAAACGTATAGGGAGGCTGTGTCCTCTCAACATGCTGACTTGTGGATACACTCTGTAGAGAAGGAGTTCAGAGGCCTGATGGAGGCTGGTACCTTTGAGGAAGTAATGTAGCAACCAGAAAGTGTTATCAAGGCGAAGTGGGTGTTTGATTGGAAATCTGATGAGTATGGATGGCCAACCAATGTGAAATCACGGCTAGTAGCGAGAGGAGATATGCAGCGAGTACATGTAGATTGTGGAGAAACGTATGCACCGACTGTAGCGGTTTCTAGCGTTCGCTTGTTGGCAGCGATGGCGTGTGAGCAAAATCTTTCTCTCCGTCATTTTGACATCAAGCAGGCATTTGTCCAGTCGGATTTGGATGAGGATGTTTTTATGCGTCTGCCAGAGGGGTGTGGTAGATTATCAGGTATGATCGTGAAGTTGAACAAGAGTCTATATGGCCTTAAGCAGGCATCAAGGCAGTGGCACTCACACTTGGCGAGGTGTTTGATTTGTTTGGGTTTTATTCAGTGTATGGCGGATACGTGTGTGTTTCGGTTGATTGAGGAGGGAAGAGTGGTAGTGACTCTGGTGGTACATGTAGATGATATATTTTCGATAGGAGAAGAGGAGAGGTGTGACCAGTTTGGCAGGGACCTCAACACCATGGTACCTGTGAAGAATCTTGGGGATTTGAGATGGTACTCTGGATGTTTTTATGAGAGAGATTGGGATGCAGGAACTTTGAAGATCTCGCAGCAGACGTACGCTGAAGAGTTGGGGATGGAGTTTGGGGTAGAGTACGGGAAGGAAATTCCTCTTCCTGTAGGGTTGAAGCTTTCAGAGTTTGACCAGGATGAGGAAGTGGTATCATGGCCTTTTCGTGAGCTGATAGGATCATTGATGTGGCTGGCAACGCAAACGAGGCCAGATATCGCGAATGCAGTAAGAGCGGTGGCACGGTACTGTGCCTCTCCAAAAGAGATTCATTGGAGAGCAGGGCTTGGTATTTTGGGGTATGTGGTAAGGACTAGTGACTTGGGTATTACATTCAGGAGGGGTAGTGTAGCAGGATTAAGCATGGAGGTGTTCGCAGACGCAGACTATGCAAGTAAGGCTGCCGATAGGAGGTCTGTGTCAGGGGGATTGGTGATGTGTGGGGGGGGATGTATTTCTTGGTTTTCAAGGACCCAGAAGTGCGTCACGTTGAGCACGACAGAGGCGGAGTATGTCTCTCTTGCGGATGTGATGAAGGAAGTGTTGTTTCTGAGGCAGGTGTGGCGTTTCATGTTACCAGAAGCAGGCATGCCATGTATTCCGGTGTTCGAGGATAACCAAGGGGCTATTCAGTTGGCGCAAAACCCGATAAGCAACAGTAACTCGAAGCACATCGACGTAAGGCACCACTTTATCAGGGAACTGGTAGGCAGGAAGGAGATTTCGATTTTTCACGTGGAATCGGCGTATCAACATGCTGACTTTCTCACGAAAGCACTTCACGCGGGAGATTTTGAGTTTCATCGTAACTACGTGATGAGTATGGATTAATATCTTGGTGTTCGGGTTTATTTTGTGTGTGATCAAACAACTGGGGTGGCAACATTTTACATTTTTGCCTATGGTTTTTCTCAATGGATGATGTTCTAGGCTGGGGGGCAACAAGTTCACTGAAGTTCGAAGAAGTATAACTGGTATGATCGGGGATGGTTATTGATGTCTAGCCAATGAGGCTATTGTTCTAGAGTTGAGTGGAGTTTCTGATTTTATTTTCTTGTGTTTTGGAGTTGTTGAGGATCGAAAAAGACATGGCATGGTCACAAGCAGGGGGGCTGATAGATATACTTGTAGCAATGCCAAGTGGTTGTAGGATTGTGTGGTACGTGGAATGTATTTCCAGGATGTGCAAGGTACCCCTGTTGTATACTGCGTCGCCCCCTCATGGTGGTGCGTGCACGCGTGCGTTCAGTTTTATGTGAGTTCGTGTGTTTTATGTAAGTTCATGTGAGTTCATGTGAAGAAGAAGTTTATGCAACAAACCCTACACGTCTTTCCTCCTTGGCGCGAGCTCGCCGAGTTGCCGACACCCTATTCAACACACGTCTTGCGACAAGCTACCCCCAGTTCGGATCATCCTAACACGCTAGCGTGCTGATATCATACGGGATCCCGAGGTGAGGCTAGCTATAAAAGGGTCGGCTAGAGAAGTAGATTATGGAGGAAGCCCTCGACCTCAGCAGCTATACTGAGGAGGATCGCCAAGCATTAGCGGCGCACATCAAAGAGGAGGTGGAGAAGAAAGTACAACAGAAGATGAAAGAACAAGAAGAAAAGCGTCCCGCTTCAGAGAGCGTGGACATGCCCCCCGATGGAGGCGATCCCCGGCATGCTCGGCCGGCTGGAACAGCGTTGAACCCGCAACCTGAAGACCAGCCACGATCGTTGGAAGACCGTCTCGTTGATTCGTTCGCACGGGCAATGCGAAGGACCAACACCCCGGGGGAGGAAACCAGGGAAGTCGTAACCCCTAAGGACACCATCCGTGTCAGTCCTGTAATACATGTAGCCCCATTTACGGGTGTGTTAGATTCCAGTGGCGATGTTCAAGTTAGAGTACAGGTGTTTGAGAGCCAATTTCGAATGCTGTTGCAACAAGAAGATTGCCTGAATGCAATAGTATCAGAAGAGACAATCAGGGTGGGGAAGTCGGATGCAGACATTCCCAAACTGAAGGAGGAGTATGGTAGGAAGGCCGTAGAGAAGGCCATGAAGGCCTGGCAGTTAATACTGGCAAAGATTCAAGTTGCATCGATCGTACCAGCAATCATCTCTAGTGGTTGCCCAACGGAGTCATGGCGAATATTTCGAAATCATTTTCAAGTGCATGCCCACACAGAAAAGACGAGCCTCCAGCTAGAGTGGCAGGAGTTGACGCAAGGGGTTCAACAACACCCGAAAGAGTACCTATCGAGAGGGTGGGTGCTGAGGCAAAGGCTATCATCTTGCGGAGTGACAATTACAGAGGATGATGCTAACAGACATCTTGTGCGCAACCTCCTCCCCGAATATGATGTCTACACAGGTTTTCTGATGTCCGAGAGCGGTCTAGAGAAGGAGAGAGTAGAACGGATTATAGTGAATGCTTGGGCGGAGATGGAGGCGCGAAGGAAGAAGAAGCAGGAGAGCGTGGGGGCTTATGCCCTCGTCACTGGCGGTGAGAACCGTAGTGGCGGGGGAGGGAACACGGGGGGACCGGGGAAGACGAGAGGACAACGGAGGACGGCAGCGCGGGAACAGAAGCAACAACCGCAGCAGCCACAGCATCATCATCAGCCGTACTTCAACCAGCAGCAACAGGTATACCTGCCGTCGTACCCGCCTGAAATAAAATATTGCGACCTCCACAACTCCCCGTCCCACAGCAACGAGGAATGTCGCTTGCAGCGGGGTTGGGGAGGTCCCTCGGGCGGCCAAGGTGCGAGCTACGGCGGAAGGCACGGGCCCCAGCATGGGGGCCGGGGCTTTTCTGGAGGAGGACGTCATCAGCAGCAGCCGGCAGGAGGAAGATTCGGGGGACGTGGCGCCGCTTCCGGTGGGAGGGGCAGGGGCCCTTTTCACCAGGGATCGCCCGGCAGCAACCTCCCCGCCTACCCTGTACCTCAGCAAGGCTACGACTACAGCACCTACCCCCCCAACATGTACCGCCCACAGGGAAATGAACCTCCCATCCACCCGAATGACCCTCGCAAGCGGTGTGAGAACTGCGGTGAACTCGGCCACAACCACCTGTTCTGCCCTTCGCGTGTTGATGTCGGAAGGCCAGCTGGCATGCCGGCAGGCAACGCGCCGCCCAGGCACCCGCCGCCCCGGCCGCCGGCCGGTGGTTACAGCCAGCGGCCGCCTTGGGCACACTCGTATGGGCAGGCAAATACGGCGCAGCAATACGGCGGAGAGGGTTACCCGGGGGTAGCGCCAGGAGCAGCAGGAGCGACGGCGGTGGCGACGACAGCTCCATCTACAGGGGCGCATGCGGTGACGCACGTGAGCGGCGTTTACCAAAATCCGGTGACGCACCCGAGCGGCGTTTACCATTTCTCGCCCCAACAGCAGCAGCCGGAGTACCTTCCCCCCCCCGTGCAACAGCAGCAGCCCATCTCCAACCCGTACGCTCCTCCGGCGCCTTCGACCGGAGCGTCTCCATCGACTGGTGGGGATTTACATGCGTGTGTGGTGTGGGCTTTTCCAAGTGAGTCTGAGAATGGTGTGCTAGTACAGCGAAGGGTCGACGGATATGTAATGATGAACGTCCTTGATGAGAGTGTAGGAGACGAAACTTGGCTTGCAGACTCAGGCGCCACGAATCACACCACCGGTGACCCGAGGTGCATGTACGATGTGATGATTCCTCCGCCTGGTAGAGAGCGAGTAGTGATTGGCGATGGTAGGACGATGCCTGTGCTTGGTATCGGCAGCCTGAACGTCAAGTTCCACAATGGTGGAAGCGATTTTTGCGTGAAGCTCACCAACGTGCATCACGTTGAGGGAATGGTTTACAATTTGTTTTCGCTCCATAAGGCCATGGGAGGGCAACGCACTAAGATGGATCCTATAGGTATCCACCTGTTTAACGGTGGATTAACTTTTCCCCGTGGCGAGCG